CAGTCACGCAGTCACTCAGTCACGCAGTCACTCAGTCAGTCACTCAGTCAGTCACTCAGTCAGTCACTCAGTCACTCAGTCAGTTACTCAGTCAGTCACTCAGTCACTCACACACACAACCAGCACCACCTGGACAGGGAGCACCAGCAGCGGTGGGTGACTCAGTCACTCAGTCAGTCAGGCAGTCAGTCACTCAGTCAGTCACTCAGTCACTCAGTCAGTCACTCACTCAGTCACTCAGTCACTCAGTCAATCACTCAGTCACTCACTCACTCAGTCACTAGTCACTCATTCAGTCACCCACTCAGTCACTCAGTCAGTCACTCACTCAGTCACTCAGTCAGTCACTCAGTCAGTCAGTCACTCAGTCAGTCACTCAGTCAGTCACTCACTCGCTCAGTCACTCAGTCAGTCACTCAGTCACTCAGTCAGTCACTCAGTCAGTCACTCAGTCAGTCACTCAGTCAGTCAGTCACTCACTCAGTCAGTCAGGCAGTCAGTCACTCAGTCAGTCACTCAGTCAGTCACTCAGTCACTCACTCAGTCACTCAGTCAGTCACTCAGTCAGTCACTCAGTCACTCAGTCAGTCAGTCACTTGCTCAGTCACCCACTCAGTCACTCACTCAGTCACTCAGTCAGTCACTCAGTCAGTCACTCACTCAGTCACTCACTCAGTCACTCAGTCAGTCACTCAGTCAGTCACTCAGTCAGTCAGTCACTCAGTCAGTCAGTCAGTCACTCAGTCGGTCACTCAGTCACTCACACACTCGCTCAGTCACTCAGTCAGTCACTCAGTCAGTCACTCAGTCACTCAGTCAGTCACTCAGTCAGTCACTCAGTCAGTCAGTCACTCAGTCACTCACTCAGTCACTCACTCAGTCACTCACTCAGTCAGTCAGGCAGTCAGTCAGTCACTCAGTCAGGCAGTCAGTCACTCAGTCAGTCAGTCACTCAGTCAGTCACACAACCAGCACCACCTGGACAGGGAGCACCAGCAGCGGTGGGTGACTAGTCACTCAGTCAGTCAGTCAGGCAGTCAGTCAGTCAGTCAGTCACTCAGTCAGTCAGTCACTCAGTCAGTCACTCAGTCAGTCAGTCACACACACAACCAGCACCACCTGGACAGGGAGCACCAGCAGCGGTGGGTGACTAGCCAGGCAGTCAGTCACTCAGTCAGTCACTCAGTCAGTCAGTCAGGCAGTCACTCAGTCAGTCAGTCAGGCAGTCAGTCAGTCAGTCAGTCACTCACACACACAACCAGCACCACCTGGACAGGGAGCACCAGCAGCGGTGGGTGACTAGTCAGTCAGGCAGTCACTCAGTCACTCAGTCAGTCAGTCACTCAGTCAGTTACTCACTCACTCAGTCAGTCACTCAGTCACTCAGTCAGTCAGTCAGTCACTCAGTCAGTCAGTCACTCAGTCAGTCACTCAGTCAGTCACTCACTCAGTCACTCAGTCAGTCACTCACACACACAACCAGCACCACCTGGACAGGGAGCACCAGCAGCGGTGGGTGTGACTAGTCACTCAGTCAGTCAGTCAGGCAGTCACTCAGTCACTCAGTCAGTCAGTCACTCAGTCAGTCACTCAGTCAGTCACTCAGTCAGTCAGTTACTCACTCACTCAGTCAGTCACTCAGTCAGGCAGTCACTCAGTCAGTCAGTCAGTCAGTCACTCAGTCAGTCAGTCACTCAGGCAGTCAGTTACTCACTCACTCAGTCAGTCACTCAGTCAGGCAGTCACTCAGTCAGTCACTCAGTCAGTCAGTCACTCAGGCAGTCACTCACACACACAACCAGCACCACCTGGACAGGGAGCACCAGCAGCGGTGGGTGACTAGTCACTCAGTCAGTCAGGCAGTCAGTCAGTCAGTCAGTCACTCAGGCAGTCAGTCAGTCACTCAGTCAGTCAGTCACTCAGTCAGTCACTAAGTCAGTCAGTTACTCACTCACTCAGTCAGTCACTCAGTCAGGCAGTCACTCAGTCAGTCACTCAGTCAGTCAGTCACTCAGTCAGTCAGTCACTCAGGCAGTCAGTTACTCACTCACTCAGTCAGTCACTCAGTCAGGCAGTCACTCAGTCAGTCACTCAGTCAGTCAGTCACTCAGGCAGTCACTCACACACACAACCAGCACCACCTGGACAGGGAGCACCAGCAGCGGTGGGTGACTAGTCAGTCACTCAGTCAGTCACTCAGTCAGTCAGTCAGTCACTCGCTCACACACACAACCAGCACCACCTGGACAGGGAGCACCAGCAGCGGTGGGTGTGACTAGTCAGTCAGTCAGTCACTCAGTCAGTCACTCAGTCAGTCACTCAGTCAGTCACTCAGTCAGTCACTCAGTCAGTCAGTCAGTCACTCATTCACTCACACACACAACCAGCACCACCTGGACAGGGAGCACCAGCAGTGGTGGGTGTGACTAGTCAGTCAGTCAGTCACTCAGTCAGTCACTCAGGCAGTCAGGCAGTCACTCACACACACAACCAGCACCACCTGGACAGGGAGCACCAGCAGCGGTGGGTGTGACTAGTCACTCAGTCAGTCACTCAGTCAGTCACTCAGTCAGTCAGGCAGTCAGTCAGGCAGTCAGTCACTCAGTCAGTCACTCAGGCAGTCACTCACTCAGTCACTCACACACACAACCAGCACCACCTGGACAGGGAGCACCAGCAGCGGTGGGTGACTCAGGCAGTCAGTCAGGCAGTCAGTCAGTCACTCACTCAGACACTCACTCAGTCAGGCAGTCAGTCACTCAATCAGTCACTCAGTCAGTCAGTCAGTCACTCAGTCATTCACCCACACACACAACCAGCACCACCTGGACAGGGAGCACCAGCAGCAGTGGGTGACTCAGTCAGTCAGTCACTCAGTCACTCAGTCAGTCACTCAGTCAGGCAGTCAATCAGTCAGTCACTCAGGCAGTCACTCAGTCAGTCAGGCAGTCACTCAGTCAGGCAGTCAGTCAGTCACTCAGTCACTCACTCAGTCACTCACTCAGTCACTCACTCAGTCACTCAGTCAGTCAGTCAGTCACTCAGTCAGTCACTCACTCACACACACAACCAGCACCACCTGGACAGGGAGCACCAGCAGCGGTGGGTGACTCAGTCAGTCAGTCAGTTACTCAGTCAGTCAGTCACTCAGGCAGTCACTCACTCAGTCACTCAGTCAGTCACTCAGTCAGTCACTCAGTCAGTCACTCACTCAGTCAGTTACTCAGTCAGTCAGTTACTCAGTCAGTCAGTCACTCAGTCAGTCACTCAGTCAGTCACTCAGTCAGTCAGTCACTCAGTCAGTCAGTCACTCAGTCAGTCAGTCACTCAGTCAGTCACTCAGTCAGTCACTCACACAGTCACTCAGGCAGTCAGTCAATCAGTCAGTTACTCAGTCAGTCACTCAGTCAGTCACTCAGTCAGTCACTCACACACACAACCAGCACCACCTGGACAGGGAGCACCAGCAGCGGTGGGTGTGACTAGTCACTCAGTCAGTCACTCAGTCAGTCACTCAGGCAGTCAGTCACTCAGTCAGGCAGTCAGTCAGTCACTCAGTCAGTCACTCACTCAGTCACTCAGTCAGTCACTCAGTCAGTCACTCACTCAGTCAGTTACTCAGTCAGTCAGTCACTCAGTCAGTCACTCAGTCACTCAGTCAGTCACTCAGTCAGTCAGTCAGTCACTCAGTCAGTCACTCAGTCAGTCACTCAGTCAGTCAGTCACACAGTCAGTCAGTCACTCAGTCAGTCACTCAGTCAGTCACTCACACAGTCACTCAGGCAGTCAGTCAATCAGTCAGTCACTCAGTCAGTCACTCAGTCACACACACAACCAGCACCACCTGGACAGGGAGCACCAGCAGCGGTGGGTGTGACTAGTCACTCAGTCAGTTACTCAGTCAGTCAGTCACTCAGTCAGTCACTCACGCAGTGAGTCAGTCAGTCACTCAGTCACTCGCTAAGTCACTCAGTCACTCGCTCAGTCACTCAGTCACTCGCTCAGTCACTCACTCAGTCAGTCACTCAGTCAGTCACTCAGTCAGTCACTCAGTCACTCAGTCAGTCACTCAGTCACGCACTCAGTCACTCAGTCACTCAGTCACTCGCTCAGTCACTCAGTCACTCCGTCAGTCACTCAGTCAGTCACTCACTCAGTCACGCACTCAGTCAGTCACTCAGTCACGCAGTCACTCAGTCACGCAGTCACTCAGTCAGTCACTCAGTCAGTCACTCAGTCAGTCACTCAGTCACTCAGTTACTCAGTCAGTCACTCAGTCACTCACACACACAACCAGCACCACCTGGACAGGGAGCACCAGCAGCGGTGGGTGACTCAGTCACTCAGTCAGTCAGGCAGTCAGTCACTCAGTCAGTCACTCAGTCACTCAGTCAGTCACTCACTCAGTCACTCAGTCACTCAGTCAATCACTCAGTCACTCACTCACTCAGTCACTAGTCACTCATTCAGTCACCCACTCAGTCACTCAGTCAGTCACTCAGTCAGTCAGTCACTCAGTCAGTCACTCAGTCAGTCACTCACTCGCTCAGTCACTCAGTCAGTCACTCAGTCACTCAGTCAGTCACTCAGTCAGTCACTCAGTCAGTCACTCAGTCAGTCAGTCACTCACTCAGTCAGTCAGGCAGTCAGTCACTCAGTCAGTCACTCAGTCAGTCACTCAGTCACTCACTCAGTCACTCAGTCAGTCACTCAGTCAGTCACTCAGTCACTCAGTCAGTCAGTCACTTGCTCAGTCACCCACTCAGTCACTCACTCAGTCACTCAGTCAGTCACTCAGTCAGTCACTCACTCAGTCACTCACTCAGTCACTCAGTCAGTCACTCAGTCAGTCAGTCACTCAGTCAGTCAGTCACTCAGTCAGTCAGTCAGTCACTCAGTCGGTCACTCAGTCACTCACACACTCGCTCAGTCACTCAGTCAGTCACTCAGTCAGTCACTCAGTCACTCAGTCAGTCACTCAGTCAGTCACTCAGTCAGTCAGTCACTCAGTCACTCACTCAGTCACTCACTCAGTCACTCAGTCAGTCACTCACTCAGTCACTCAGTCAGTCACTCACTCAGTCACTCAGTCAGTCACTCAGTCAGTCAGTCACTCGCTCAGTCACTCACTCAGTCACTCAGTCAGTCACTCACTCAGTCACTCACTCACCCACTCACTCAGTCACTCAGTCAGTCACTCAGTCAGTCACTTGCTCAGTCACTCAGTCAGTCACTCAGTCAGTCACTCACTCACCCACTCACTCAGTCACTCACCCACTGCCTTGTTAGTCACTGTGTGTGTGTGTGGTAGTCACTGTGTGTGTGGTATTCACTGTGTGTGTGTGTGGTAGTCACTGTGTGTGTGGTAGTCACTGTGTGTGTGTGGTAGTCACTGTGTGTGTGTGGTAGTCACTGTGTGTGTGTGTGTGGTAGTCACTCTGTGTGTGTGTGGTAGTCACTCTGTGTGTGTGTGGTAGTCACTGTGTGTGTGTGTGGTAGTCACTGTGTGTGTGGTAGTCACTGTGTGAGTGTGTGGTAGTCACTGTGTGTGTGTGTGGTAGTCACTGTGTGTGTGTGGTAGTCACTGTGTGTGTGTGTGGTAGTCACTGTGTGTGTGGTAGTCACTGTGTGTGTGGTAGTCACTGTGTGTGTGGTAGTCACTGTGTGTGTGTGTGGTAGTCACTGTGTGTGTGGTAGTCACTGTGTGTGTGTGGTAGTCACTGTGTGTGTGTGTGTTAGTCACTGTGTGTGTGGTAGTCACTGTGTGTGTGTGTGGTAGTCACTGTGTGTGTGTGGTAGTCACTCTGTGTGTGTGGTAGTCACTGTGTGTGTGTGTGGTAGTCACTCTGTGTGTGTGGTAGTCACTGTGTGTGTGTGTTAGTCACTGTGTGTGTGGTAGTCACTGTGTGTGTGGTAGTCACTCTGTGTGTGTGGTAGTCACTGTGTGTGTGGTAGTCACTGTGTGTGTGTGTGGTAGTCACTGTGTGTGGTAGTCACTCTGTGTGGTAGTCACTGTGTGTGTGGTAGTCACTGTGTGTGTGTGGTAGTCACTGTGTGTGTGTGTGTGGTAGTCACTGCGTGTGTGGTAGTCACTGTGTGTGTGGTAGTCACTGTGTGTGTGGTAGTCACTGTGTGTGTGGTAGTCACTGTGTGTGTGTGGTAGTCACTGTGTGTGTGTGTTAGTCACTGTGTGTGTGTTAGTCACTGTGTGTGTGTGTGGTAGTCACTGTGTGTGTGTGTGTGGTAGTCACTGTGTGTGTGTGGTAGTCACTGTGTGTGTGTGTGTGGTAGTCACTGTGTGTGTGGTAGTCACTGTGTGTGTGGTAGTCACTGTGTGTGTGGTAGTCACTCTGTGTGTGTGGTAGTCACTGTGTGTGTGGTAGTCACTGTGTGTGTGTGTGGTAGTCACTGTGTGTGGTAGTCACTCTGTGTGGTAGTCACTGTGTGTGTGGTACTCACTGTGTGTGTGTGGTAGTCACTGTGTGTGTGTGTGTGGTAGTCACTGCGTGTGTGGTAGTCACTGTGTGTGTGGTAGTCACTGTGTGTGTGGTAGTCACTGTGTGTGTGGTAGTCACTGTGTGTGTGTGGTAGTCACTGTGTGTGTGTGTTAGTCACTGTGTGTGTGTTAGTCACTGTGTGTGTGTGTGGTAGTCACTGTGTGTGTGTGTGTGGTAGTCACTGTGTGTGTGTGGTAGTCACTGTGTGTGTGTGTGTGGTAGTCACTGTGTGTGTGGTAGTCACTGTGTGTGTGGTAGTCACTGTGTGTGTGGTAGTCACTGTGTGTGTGTGTGGTAGTCACTGTGTGTGTGGTAGTCACTGTGTGTGTGTGGTAGTCACTGTGTGTGTGTGTGTGGTAGTCACTGTGTGTGTGGTAGTCACTGTGTGTGTGTTAGTCACTGTGTGTGTGGTAGTCACTGTGTGTGTGTGGTAGTCACTGTGTGTGTGTGGTAGTCACTGTGTGTGTGTGGTAGTCACTGTGTGTGTGTGTGTTAGTCACTGTGTGTGTGTGGTAGTCACTGTGTGTGTGGTAGTCACTGTGTGTGTGGTAGTCACTGTGTGTGTGGTAGTCACTCTGTGTGTGTGGTAGTCACTCTGTGTGTGTGGTAGTCACTGTGTGTGTGGTAGTCACTGTGTGTGTGTGTGGTAGTCACTGTGTGTGTGTGGTAGTCACTGTGTGTGTGTGGTAGTCACTGTGTGTGTGGTAGTCACTGTGTGTGTGGTAGTCACTGTGTGTGTGTGGTAGTCACTGTGTGTGTGGTAGTCACTGTGTGTGTGGTAGTCACTGTGTGTGTGTGTGGTAGTCACTGTGTGTGTGTGTGTGGTAGTCACTGTGTGTGTGTGGTAGTCACTGTGTGTGTGTGGTAGTCACTGTGTGTGTGGTAGTCACTGTGTGTGTGGTAGTCACTGTGTGTGTGGTAGTCACTGTGTGTGGTAGTCACTGTGTGTGTGGTAGTCACTGTGTGTGTGGTAGTCACTGTGTGTGTGGTAGTCACTGTGTGTGTGGCATTCACTGTGTGTGTGTGTGGTAGTCACTGTGTGTGTGTGTGGTAGTCACTGTGTGTGTGTGGTAGTCACTGTGTGTGTGGTAGTCACTGTGTGTGTGGTAGTCACTGTGTGTGTGTTAGTCACTGTGTGTGTGTGGTAGTCACTGTGTGTGTGGTAGTCACTGTGTGTGTGTGGTAGTCACTGTGTGTGTGTGTGGTAGTCACTGTGTGTGTGGTAGTCACTGTGTGTGTGTGTGCTAGTTACCGTGTGTGCTAGTTACCGTGTGTGCTAGTTACCGTGTGTGCTAGTTACCGTGTGTGGTAGTTACCGTGTGGTAGTCACTGTGTGGTAGTTACCGTGTGTGCTAGTTACCGTGTGTGCTAGTTACCTTGTGTGGTAGTTACCGTGTGTGCTAGTTACCGTGTGTGCTAGTTACCGTGTGTGCTAGTTACCGTGTGTGCTAGTTACCGTGTGTGCTAGTTACCGTGTGTGCTAGTCACCGTGTGTGCTAGTTACCGTGTGTGCTAGTCACCGTGTGTGCTAGTTACCGTGTGTGCTAGTCACCGTGTGTGGTAGTTAACGTGTGTGGTAGTTACCGTGTGTGCTAGTTACCGTGTGTGCTAGTTACCGTGTGTGCTAGTTACCGTGTGTGCTAGTCACCGTGTGTGCTAGTCACCGTGTGTGCTAGTCACCGTGTGTGCTAGTTACCGTGTGTGCTAGTTACCGTGTGTGCTAGTTACCGTGTGTGCTAGTCACCGTGTGTGCTAGTCACCGTGTGTGCTAGTCACCGTGTGTGGTAGTTACCGTGTGTGCTAGTCACCGTGTGTGCTAGTCGCCGTGTGTGCTAGTCACCATGGTGGTAGTTACCGTGTGTGCTAGTTACCATGTGTGCTAGTTACCGTGTGTGCTAGTTACCGTGTGTGCTAGTTACCATGTGTGCTAGTCACCGTGTGTGGTAGTTACCGTGTGTGCTAGTTACCGTGTGTGCTAGTCACCGTGTGTGCTAGTTACCGTGTGTGCTAGTTACCGTGTGTGCTAGTCACCGTGTGTGCTAGTCACCGTGTGTGCTAGTTACCGCGTGTGCTAGTTACCGTGTGTGCTAGTTACCGTGTGTGCTAGTCACCGTGTGTGCTAGTCACCGTGTGTGCTAGTTACCATGTGTGGTAGTTACCGTGTGTGCTAGTTACCGTGTGTGCTAGTCACCGTGTGTGCTAGTCACCGTGTTGTTACCGTGTGTGCTAGTTACCGTGTGTGCTAGTTACCGTGTGTGCTAGTTACCGTGTGTGCTAGTTACCGTGTGTGCTAGTCACCGTGTGTGCTAGTCACCGTGTGTGCTAGTCACCGTGTGTGCTAGTCACCGTGTGTGCTAGTTACCGTGTGTGCTAGTCACCGTGTGTGCTAGTTGCCGTGTGTGCTAGTCACCATGGTGGTAGTTACCGTGTGTGCTAGTTACCATGTGTGCTAGTTACCGTGTGTGCTAGTCACCGTGTGTGCTAGTCACCGTGTGTGCTAGTCACCGTGTGTGCTAGTCACCGTGTGTGCTAGTCACCGTGTGTGCTAGTTACCTTGTGTGCTAGTTACCGTGTGTGCTAGTTACCGTGTGTGCTAGTTACCGTGTGTGCTAGTTACCGTGTGTGCTAGTCACCGTGTGTGCTAGTCACCGTGTGTGCTAGTCACCGTGTGTGCTAGTCACCGTGTGTGCTAGTCACCGTGTGTGCTAGTTACCGTGTGTGCTAGTTACCGTGTGTGCTAGTTACCGTGTGTGCTAGTCACCGTGTGTGCTAGTCACCGTGTGTGCTAGTCACCGTGTGTGCTAGTTACCGTGTGTGCTAGTCACCGTGTGCGCTAGTTACCGTGTGCGCTAGTCACCGTGTGTGCTAGTCACCGTGTGTGCTAGTCACCGTGTGTGCTAGTTACCGTGTGTGCTAGTCACCGTGTGTGCTAGTCACCGTGTGTGCTAGTTACCGTGTGTGCTAGTCACCGTGTGTGCTAGTCACCGTGTGTGCTAGTTACCGTGTGTGCTAGTTACCGTGTGTGGTAGTTACCGTGTGTGCTAGTCACCGTGTGTGCTAGTTACCGTGTGTGCTAGTCACCGTGTGTGCTAGTTACCGTGTGTGCTAGTTACCTTGTGTGGTAGTCACCGTGTGTGCTAGTTACCGTGTGTGCTAGTCACCGTGTGTGCTAGTTACCGTGTGTGCTAGTCACCGTGTGTGCTAGTTACCGTGTGTGCTAGTCACCTTGTGTGGTAGTCACCGTGTGTGCTAGTCACCGTGTGTGCTAGTTACCGTGTGTGCTAGTTACCGTGTGTGCTAGTCACCGTGTGTGCTAGTTACCGTGTGTGCTAGTCACCGTGTGTGCTAGTCACCGTGTGTGCTAGTCACCGTGTGTGCTAGTCACCGTGTGTGCTAGTCACCGTGTGTGCTAGTTACCGTGTGTGCTAGTTACCGTGTGTGCTAGTTACCGTGTGTGCTAGTCACCGTGTGTGCTAGTCACCGTGTGTGCTAGTCACCGTGTTGTTACCGTGGTGCTAGTCACCGTGTGTGCTAGTCACCGTGTGTGCTAGTCACCGTGTGTGCTAGTCACCATGTTGTTACCGTGTGTGCTAGTTACCGTGTGTGCTAGTTACCGTGTGTGCTAGTTACCGTGTGTGCTAGTTACCGTGTGTGCTAGTTACCGTGTGTGCTAGTTACCGTGTGGTAGTCACCGTGTGTGCTAGTCACCGTGTGTGCTAGTCACCGTGTGTGCTAGTTACCGTGTGTGCTAGTCACCGTGTGTGCTAGTTACCGTGTGTGCTAGTCACCTTGTGTGGTAGTCACCGTGTGTGCTAGTCACCGTGTGTGCTAGTCACCGTGTGTGCTAGTCACCGTGTGTGCTAGTTACCGTGTGTGCTAGTTACCGTGTGTGCTAGTTACCGTGTGTGCTAGTTACCGTGTGTGCTAGTCACCGTGTGTGCTAGTCACCGTGTGTGCTAGTCACCTTGTGTGGTAGTCACCGTGTGTGCTAGTCACCGTGTGTGCTAGTTACCGTGTGTGCTAGTCACCGTGTGTGCTAGTTACCGTGTGTGCTAGTCACCGTGTGTGCTAGTCACCGTGTGTGCTAGTCACCGTGTGTGCTAGTTACCGTGTGTGCTAGTTACCGTGTGTGCTAGTCACCGTGTGTGCTAGTTATCGTGTGTGCTAGTCACCTTGTGTGGTAGTCACCGTGGTGCTAGTTACCGTGTGTGCTAGTCACCGTGTGTGCTAGTTACCGTGTGTGCTAGTTACCGTGTGTGCTAGTTACCGTGTGTGCTCGTTACCGTGTGTGCTAGTCACCGTGTGTGCTAGTTACCGTGTGTGCTAGTCACCGTGTGTGCTAGTTACCGTGTGTGCTAGTTACCTTGTGTGGTAGTCACCGTGTGTGCTAGTTACCGTGTGTGCTAGTTACCGTGTGTGCTAGTTACCGTGTTGTTACCGTGGTGCTAGTTATGGTGGTGCTAGTTACCGTGTGTGCTAGTCACCGTGTGTGCTAGTCACCGTGTGTGGTGGTTACCGTGTGTGCTAGTTACCGTGTGTGCTAGTCACCGTGTGTGCTAGTTACCGTGTGTGCTAGTCACCTTGTGTGGTAGTCACCGTGTGTGCTAGTCACCGTGTGTGCTAGTCACCGTGTGTGCTAGTCACCGTGTGTGCTAGTTACCGTGTGTGCTAGTCACCGTGTGTGCTAGTCACCGTGTGTGCTAGTTACCGTGTGTGCTAGTTACCGTGTGTGCTAGTTACCGTGGTGCGTTACCCTCTGGTTATCACCGCAGCGAGGAGCGTAGTGAGACCCAGGCCCTGCGGTTACAGCAGGATGAGGCCTACCTCGTCAGCCTGCGGGCCGACCAGGAGAAGGAGCGGCTGCGACGTGAACGGAGGGACGCTGAGGAGCGTGAGAGTCAGCGGAGAGACGCTGATGAGGAGCGTGAGGCTCAGCGGAGACAGGTCACTAACTACATCACTGTCACTACTACTACACTAGTACTATACTATCACTACTACTACACTAGTACTATACTATCACTATCACTACTACTATACTATCACTACTACTACACTAGTACTATACTATCACTACTACTACACTAGTACTATACTATCACTACTACTACACTAGTACTATACTATCACTACTACTACACTAGTACTATACTATCACTACTACTACACTAGTACTATACTATCACTACTACTAAGCTGAGGAGCGTGAGAGTCAGCGGAGAGACGCTGATGTGGAGCGTGAGGCTCAGCGGAGACAGGTCACTAACTACATCACTGTCACTACTACTACACTAGTACTATACTATCACTACTACTACACTAATACTATACTATCACTACTACTACACTAGTACTATACTATCACTACTACTAAGCTGAGGAGCGTGAGAGTCAGCGGAGAGATGCTGATGTGGAGCGTGAGGCTCAGCGGAGACAGGTCACTAACTACATCACTGTCACTACTACTACACTAGTACTATACTATCACTACTACTATTACACTATCACTACTACTACACTACTATACTAGCACTACTACTATCACTACTATACTATCACTACTACTACACTACTACTACACTAGTACTATACTATCACTACTACTATATCACTACTACTACACTATAACTACACTACTACTACACTACTACTACTACACTAGTACTATACTATCACTACTACTACACTACTACTACACTACTACTATAACTATCACTACTACTACACTACTACTACACTACTACTACTACACTAGTACTATACTATCACTACTACTATATCACTACTACTACACTATAACTACACTACTACTACACTACTACTACTACACTAGTACTATACTATCACTACTACTACACTACTACTATAACTATCACTACTACTACACTACTACTACACTACTACTACTACACTAGTACTATACTATCACTACTACTACACTAGTACTATACTATCACTACTACTACACTAGTACTATACTATCACTACTACTACACTAGTACTATACTATCACTACTACTACACTAGTACTATACTATCACTACTACACTAGTACTATACTATCACTACTACTACACTAGTACTATACTATCACTACTATTCTATCACTACTACTACACTAGTACTATACTATCACTACTACTACACTAGTACTATACTATCACTACTACTACACTACTACTACACTAGTACTACTACTACACTAGTACTATACTATCACTACTACTACACTATCACTACTACTACACTGTCACTACTACTACACTAGTACTATACTATCACTACTACTACACTAGTACTATACTATCACTACTACTACACTAGTACTATACTATCACTACTACTACACTAGTACTATACTATCACTACTACACTAGTACTATACTATCACTACTACTACACTAGTACTATACTATCACTACTACTACACTACTACTATACTATCACTACTACTACACTAGTACTATACTATCACTACTACTACACTAGTACTATACTATCACTACTACTACACTAGTACTATACTATCACTACTACTACACTAGTACTATACTATCACTACTACTACACTAGTACTATACTATCACTACTACTACACTAGTACTATACTATCACTACTACTACACTAGTACTATACTATCACTACTACTACACTAGTACTATACTATCACTACTACTACACTAGTACTATACTATCACTACTACACTATCACTACTACTACACTATCACTACTACTACACTAGTACTATACTATCACTACTACTACACTATTACTACTACTACACTAGTACTATACTATCACTACTACTACACTAGTACTATACTATCACTACTACTACACTATTACTACTACTACACTATTACTACTACTACACTAGTACTATACTATCACTAGTACTACTATACTATCACTACTACTACACTATCACTAGTACTACTACTATACTATCACTACTACTATACTATCACTAGTACTATACTATCACTACTACTACTATACTATCACTACTACACTACTACTACACTAGTACTATACTATCACTACTACTACACTAGTACTATACTATCACTACTACTACACTAGTACTATACTATCACTACTACACTATCACTACTACTACTACTATACTATCACTACTACTACACTAGTACTACACTGTCACTACTACTACACTAGTACTATACTATCACTACTACTACACTAGTACTATACTATCACTACTACTACACTAGTACTATACTATCACTACTACAATATCACTACTACTATACTATCACTACTACTACACTAGTACTATACTATCACTACTACTATAATACTACTACACTATCACTACTACTACTACACTACTACTATACTATCACTACTATCACTATCACTACTACTACACTATCACTACTACTACTACACTACTACTATACTATCACTACTATCACTATCACTACTACACTATCACTACTACTATACTATCACTACTACTATACTATCACTATCACTACTACTACACTAGTACTATACTATCACTACTACTATACTATCACTATCACTACTACTACACTAGTACTATACTATCACTACTACACTATCACTACTACTACACTAGTACTATACTATCACTACTACTAAGCTGAGGAGCGTGAGAGTCAGCGGAGAGACGCTGATGTGGAGCGTGAGGCTCAGCGGAGACAGGTCACTAACTACATCACTGTCACTACTACTACACTAGTACTATACTATCACTACTACTACACTAGTACTATACTATCACTACTACTACACTAGTACTATACTATCACTACTACACTGAGGAGCGTGAGAGTCAGCGGAGAGATGCTGATGTGGAGCGTGAGGCTCAGCGGAGACAGGTCACTACATCACTGTCACTACTACTACACTAGTACTATACTATCACTACTATTACACTAGTACTATACTATCACTACTACTACGCTGAGGAGCGTGAGAGTCAGCGGAGAGATGCTGATGTGGAGCGTGAGGCTCAGCGGAGACAGGTCACTACATCACTGTCACTACTACTACACTAGTACTATACTATCACTACTATTACACTAGTACTATACTATCACTACTACTACGCTGAGGAGCGTGAGAGTCAGCGGAGAGATGCTGATGTGGAGCGTGAGGCTCAGCGGAGACAGGTCACTAACTACATCACTGTCACTAGTACACTAGTACTATACTATCACTACTACTACACTAGTACTATACTATCACTACTACTACACTAGTACTATACTATCACTACTACTACGCTGAGGAGCGTGAGAGTCAGCGGAGAGACGCTGACGTGGAGCGTGAGGCTCAGCGGAGACAGGTCACTAACTACATCACTGTCACTACTACACTAGTACTATACTATCACTACTGCTACACTAGTACTATACTATCACTACTACTACACTAGTACTATACTATCACTACTAGTAAGCTGAGGAGCGTGAGAGTCAGCGGAGAGACGCTGATGTGGAGCGTGAGAGTCAGCGGAGACAGGTCACTAACTACATCACTGTCACTACTACTACACTAGTACTATACTATCACTACTACTACACTAGTACTATACTATCACTACTACTACACTGAGGAGTGTGAGAGTCAGCGGAGAGACGCTGATGAGGAGCGTGAGAGTCAGCGGAGACAGGTCACTAACTACATCACTGTCACTACTACTACACTAGTACTATACTATCACTACTACACTAGTACTATACTATCACTACTACTATACTATCACTACTACTACACTATTACACTATCACTACTACTACTATAGTATCACTACTACTACACTATCACTACTACTACTATACTACACTATCACTACTACTACACTAGTACTATACTATCACTACTACTAAGCTGAGGAGCGTGAGAGTCAGCGGAGAGACGCTGATGAGGAGCGTGAGGCTCAGCGGAGACAGGTCACTAACTACATCACTGTCACTACTACTACACTAGTACTATACTATCACTACTATTACACTAGTACTATACTATCACTATTATTACACTATCACTAGTACTATCACTACTACTACACTAGTACTATACTATCACTACTACGCTGAGGAGCGTGAGAGTCAGCGGAGAGACGCTGATGTGGAGCGTGAGGCTCAGCGGAGACAGGTCACTAACTACATCACTGTCACTACTACTACACTAGTACTATACTATCACTACTACTACTACACTAGTACTATACTATCACTACTACTACACTAGTACTATACTATCACTACTACTACGCTGAGGAGCGTGAGAGTCAGCGGAGATACGCTGACGTGGCGCGTGAGGCTCAGCGGAGACAGGTCACTAACTACATCACTGTCACTACTACTACACTAGTACTATACTATCACTACTACTACACTAGTACTATACTATCACTACTATACTATCACTACATCACTGTCACTACTACACTATCACTACTACACTATCACTACTACACTATCACTACTACACTATCACTACATCACTATACTATCACTACTACTACACTAGTACTATACTATCACTACTACACTATCACTACTACTACACTAGTACTATACTATCACTACTACGCTGAGGAGCGTGAGAGTCAGCGGAGATACGCTGACGTGGCGCGTGAGGCTCAGCGGAGACAGGTCACTAACTACATCACTGTCACTACTACTACACTAGTACTATACTATCACTACTACTACACTAGTACTATACTATCACTACTACTACACTAGTACTATACTATCACTACTACTACACTACTACTATACTATCACTACTACTATACTATCACTACTACTACTACACTATCACTACTACTACACTATCACTAGTACTATACTATCACTACTACACTATCACTACTACTACTACACTATCACTACTACTATACTATTACTATCACTACTATACTATCACTACTACAATTACACT